TCACTTTGTGCCTTTATAGCCCCCCATTTTCGGTAGCCAGTGTCTAAGTTGCCCATCCCTATTAACTCGTTCTTATAGTAGTTTCCTAAATTCTTCGAATTTTCTCCTGTGATCTTCTTGCTTTCTTCAATCTTTCTGTTAATATGTTCAAGGTACCTAAATATCATTCTTTTGAATTCTTTCTTAGGTTGTTCTATTACAGGGTACTCTTCTGAAGTATTTTCTGGCTCTTCATATTGATCATTTGTTTGAGCCACTCTTAGTTCTTCATGTCAGCTAAAATTTTCTGTTGTCTCTGAGACATTGTGGTGGTGTATTTGTATATAAGTGTGTGTGTTCTTAGGCTTTTACCAACTGTCTCCTGGTGGGTTTGTTTATAGAACGGAAATGTGTGCACTGCTTTCCATTCACTGTTTGTGTAGATCAGTTTAGGGTGGTTTTGGTTGTGATTGGCTGATGGTTTTCACTGATCAAGTCATATAGGAGCTGGTCTTGGCTTTTCCCCAATGGGTTGTGCTATAAAGGATCTGACTGTTGCTGAGCTGTATGAATATAGTTGTTGTCTCCCAGTGGGTGGGGCAAGAGTATAACACACACAGGAAAACAAAACAGAACAAACAAGCAAACAACAGCAGAAAAAGAATATAATAAAGGAGAAAAAATAAAAATGAGAAGCAATAGGAAGAAAAGAACAGAATAATATAATGTAAAAATTATATTATTTTGTTCTTAAAAATGAGAATATAATATAAAAAAGAGAAAAGAGGGACAGGAAAATAGAGCTGTACAAGAGAAAAATAGAGAGAAGATAAAAGGAAGAGGAATAAAAAAACAGAGGAAAGATGATAAAAAGAGAAAGAGACTAGAGAGTATTAAAAAAGTTTAAGAAGAATAAAAGAAGAATAGGGCAGAAATGAGAAACAGAGAAAAGAAAAAACAAAAGTGGAGATAGAAAGGATAGAAATCAAGAGAAGGGAATGAAAGGAAGAAGAAAGAGAAAGAAAGAAAGGAAAAAAATCAATAGCACAACAAAAGGAAAACTAGACAAACAAAAAAACAGTGCAGGTGTTGGTCTGAGAGAAGAGAAAACTCTGGAGGATTCCTATTAGTATCTGTCAGAACCACAGGGCAATTGGGGGCAAGGTGGCTAATTATGAAGGTTTCTCCTAGTCTAATTCTAGCCTGGGGTTCTGTGGGTTCTGTACATCTGGAGCTGAGGCCTTCATGAATTCAGGCACCAAGGCAGTACAACAGGCATCCGACTCACACTGGCTCAAATTACATGGCTTGGACTCCCAGAGATCAGTGGGGGTGGGGTGTCAGCCTCACCTCTGTTTTCCAGGGAAGTGTGGGGAGCAAGAAGAAACCCTATCTTTTCTTTCACCTGTGAATATGCATCATCAGACCACAATGTGCTTCTCCAAAGCTGCTCAAAGTTCAGGGTGGCCACTCCTGTCTAGCCATAAGTCTGGCCTTAGTCTATTTCTTGCAGCCTCTGCTCTGATTCCCCTCCAAGTAGGTATTCAATCCAGTTCTCTAACCTTGATTCTGAAGCTCAAGGATCTAGAATTGTCCTATATGTTTGTTTCATTTTGGTATCCTGTATCTGTTGGAGCCCTGGTGTGGTGCCATAGGATAAGCATTCGACCTCAAGTTCAGTTTGGACCTCAAGTTCAGTGGTTCAAACTCACCATCTGATCCTTGGAAACCTTATACAGGTCACTATGAGTTGGAACAGGCTCAGCAGCACTTAACAACAACAATCTTTCTTGTAGAGGGTCTGTAAAGCATATCTGCCTAGTTTGTCATTTTTCTGGAAGTCTCTGGGTTAGCTTTTGAGTGATATTGTTGTGTGTTTTATTCTGTTTTTTGTCTGGATTCTTGGTTTTCTGTCCAAATGACTCCATTTTGCTTTTCTTGTAAAGTTGGTCAGACTTTCACAAATTTCTTTAATTTCTAAACAGAAATTATGTTTAATATTTAAAAAATAAAATTAATAAAAATATGTTAAACTATCCTAATTTTGGCATCATATTTGACAAACAGTTTTGCTCAATATATAATTTTTAGTTGACTGTTTTTGTTTTGTTTTTTTCTTTCAGGGTTTTATATATGCAATACCATAGACTTTCTTATCTGCTTGGTTTCTGCCAAGAAATCAGAGCTTAATCATATTGGTTATCTTTTTGGTTTGTTTGTTTCTACCGTTTTTTAATTTTTAATTTTAATGTTTTACTGTGACTTGTGTGATAGTTTACATGGGAGAACATTAGTTGTACATTCATCCTGTCCCCTATCATTTCATTGCCATGGTTACAGTCCCCCCATGCATCATCAACCAACCACAGGGTATACTCTGCAAGCCTGCCCCCTGGTGGTCAGCATGCAACCCCTCTCCCTCCCTGGGTCTAAAGTCCCAAGCTGCTCCATCTCTCCACATCATCTTCTCTGCCTCCATCTCTGGCTTCACTGCTTTTCAGGGCAGGGTCCTGCACACTGTTCGTCTCCCCTGATGGTTCCAGGGAGCTCAACTACTAGCATATTGGTTATCTTTTGTAGGTAACTTTTCAGTTTTTTCTGAGCTGCTTTCAGAATTTTTTTCTTTTTCTTTGGTATTGGCAAGTTTGATTAAGATATGTTTTTGTGATTTTCTTTTGGGATATATACCCTATTTGGAGTTGGTTGAGCTTCTTCAATGCATATTTTGTATTAGAAACGTTTTCTTCAACAAACCTATTATTTTCTCTGTGTTCATTTTTAATTTTGACATCTTCTCATTTGGAAAATTGATTACATGATGATGTAACCTTGCTTGCCTGAAGTGAAGAGGACTTAAAATAGTTACTGATGAAGACCAAAGATTACAGTAATCAGTATGGATTTCCCTTCAATAAAGAAAACAAAAATTCCCACTAAATGACATCTTAATAAATGGAGAAAAGAGTGAAGTTGTCAAAAACTTCATTTTGTCTGGACCTATAATCAATTCTCATGGAAGTAGCAGTCAATTTATCAAACAATGTATTGAAGAGTATTTTAGAGTTTTGTCTCTTTTTTCTTTCATGTATCTCTTAATCTCTTGACTAGTTCTCAATATAGTTCTTCTGCATTTCTATTCAGATAGTTCTAATACCACTTTACCACAGTTTTCTCAATCTATATTTTGGTCATTTGTCTGATTCACCTTGTCCTGTTTCTTTGTATGGACTGGGGTAGTCTGTTATCTCTGAGACATTGTGGTGTTATTGTAATTATTTGGTGAGTGTTGATGTGGCACTGCATGATATGCATTGGACTGCTAACCACAATATCAGTGGTTCATATATACCAGGTGTTCCTCAGAAGCATTGTACAGGGTTGGTATGAGTCAGAACTGACTCAACGACATTTAACAAAAACAACAACATGCTGGTATGTTTCACCTAAAGTTTATAAAATTTATTTGTTTTGCTATATCTGAGTGAGCAGGAAGTACTTGGTACCCTGCTCACTATTTGGGCAGCACTTAGGTGCTCATCATTTGTCTCCTGGTGGGTGTGATAGCATATGTCAGTGTGTGTGCATGCATTTGTTCACTGTTTGTATAGAACAATTTGAAGGTGAGCTGGGCTGAGGTTGGTCAGTAACTATAGTTGATTATGTAGTGAAGGAGTGGGCTGTGGCACTCACCCAGTGAATAGAGTAGCAGATGGTGCTGGTGTGTCTCGGTATTGTAAATGTGCGTCCTTCCTCCCACAGATTGGGAGTAAACAAAACAAAACAAAATGAAGGAAGAGAAAAAGAAAAATAATAAAAACTGAAAAAGAAAGAGGAAAAAAGAAAATACAAAAACTGTGAGGGGAGGAAAGAAAGAGGTACAGTGGGATGTGCGCATGAACCACTGATTTTAGAAGTCTCAGGGTTGTGATGCCTGGCCTACTAAATACTGTACTGATCACGGTCCTCTGAAACACAGTGGACTTGAAAGAATTAGAACTGAATCGATGGAAACTGGTTTGATCTTTGTTTTTAAAGCTTCCTGGGTTTTCTTATTGAATCTGTGACCTCAAATGAATTGTGCCTGGTGTATACAATGGAAATGACCTGTAGATAATTCTGGCATTTAAAAAAATCTGTAAGAAGCATTGAAGAAAATCTCACATGAAACATATTCAGTAAATTACAATAGACATAAATAGTTAATTGTTAAGAGGTATAGATAATGAAAGGATACCCAGAGAAAGTCCCTAGATCAAGCCAAGACACATGATAAAGAGATGATGAAAGTGATCACTGGGGATTGTCAGTGACTGATGATAGACCAAAGCCTGACTGTCCCCAAGAACATTCTGAGGATGTCCTTCTAAAGCTAGATGGATAAGCAAGCTCAGTCACCTACACATCTGCAGAACAAGGGGAACTTAAAGCTACTTCTATCTTTTTTCTTATAACAGCACCACAGTCCATCCAGCAGTAGAGGAGAACCAGATCAAAGAAGCAATGAGCACTTCTTAACAAAATCTATTATTTAATTCCATCTTACAGAGGACTCTGGTTAGTAACTGTTCATCATTTCCATCATAGGTGTCTATCTACACCCTGACCTTTGGCCTTCCTTTCTGCCCTAATCATGTCTGCACAGCAGCCTAAAAACACCAGTGAGATACTGGAGGAACATTACTCTAATGAATAGGGTGAGGAACTGAAAAGACAAATGTATTGTAGTGTGCTCAACTTGAGGATCCGACATATATAAGAGCAGTCATCACTACTGAATAAAATGACACTTCTTCCCTTTTCCATGAGTGGAAGGGTCACACTTTGTTTTTCTAGGCAGTGAGGTTTGGACCTCACCTACAGACAGAAGTTGTCTCCTATTGACTCCAAGGTCAGCCCCTGAGTGGGACCAATTTTCAGCAGGGAATTGGGTTCTAATTTGAGTTGGCATCTTAGACTTGGCAACTGTATGTTGAGGTTGGCTATGACAACACACCACAAGATACAGAGGCTGAGATGCTGACCTCCATGGTCGAGAATGCTGTATGTAGGCAGGAAGAGTACTTTGGGAAGACTCCAGGGCAGTAGACTTTGTTGAGATGCTAAGTGGAAATCAAGGCTATCAAGTTCCTCTTCTTCTTCATTAGACCCTTCTCCAATCTCAGGTGTTTTAATAATAGAAGAAGTTTCTATAAACATTGTGGTATCTCTGGTTCACAGTCTAGGGGAAGCATGACCATGATTTTGGTGAGGAGATGTTGATTGTTCAGACTGAAGTTCCTGTGTCTTCTGAATCTGTGTAAAGACAGCAAAGTCTTTTTACTTCGACAGGTTACTGGATACTTTTCCCTCTTTTGGTAGGTAATCTGCTTTCAAGTTCTTTGTGCCTGTTCCTTTGCCGATCCCTTCTTGAAGACCTCTGGTATCTCTGCTCCCTATGTCTTGACTTACCTCAGATTCTGGACAGTTGGAATCCATGTGGAGCACAATATAACTTGGGAGTGCCTCCAATACATTCTCTTCCCCTCTCAACTTCAATAGTCTCTTCTTCATGAGCTGAAATGAAGGAAAATGGGCAGGTACTGGCTCTGTACAAGTTTGAGAACAGGTGACAGAGACTATGGTATTGTGGCAGGATTCAGGGAAGTCAGTCACATGTTACTGAAACCACAGTTACTGTAGTTTCAGTAGCTCATCCTGCTCATCTTCTTGTGCTATATCCCTAATCTTTGATTCCTTACCACCTTTCCTCTCAAACTGTCCTTAGACTCCTATACCTCCTCATTCTATACCTATTCCCAAACCTGGAGCTCTCCTTCCCCAGAAGCAGTGCCATTCAAGGCACTGTAAGGTGAGAAGAAATCATGCAGGTTTCATGTTCTGAGTTTTCGTTTCCTCCTCTGGTGTACCTGAGTGTGGGTGAGTCCTTCCTCTTGCTCCAGCTCCTGAATTAAGGACAAGGGATCTGCTTGTGGTTCCGGAGATAATAACATTTCCAGGAATTGAGGGTGAATAACTTCTACCACCTGATAGTGGAAAAGAGGAGGTTGTGAAAGTGCTTGACAAGGAGTAACCAATGAAGTAGAGGATCCAGAAGTAACTTCATAATCCCACAGTTGAGTGTGCACCAATTGTTGTATTATAAAGGAAACTTACTTGGTTAAAGGACTCAGCTACTAACTAAAAGGTTGATGATTCAAACCCTCCAGCCTCTCTGTGAGAGAAAAATATGACAGTCTGCTTCC